AACCAATTAAGGCCCTACAGAAGACAAACATTAAATGAGCAGCCATTATAGCGATCATCCTACATATTTCTTCTTTTCAATAGCAACAATTTCCCCTATATTTAAGCCTCGCCTAAGCCTTTATTTGCTTTGCACACAATTACAAAGCTACTTTGACTTTTATATCTGTGTGTTTTGTTCCAACACTGTATAGCTCCCGAGTGCTCCTCATCCATGGAAGCCTAATGCTGAACCATTCCAGAGCCTTTAAGGAATGACAGCTCGTATGGAAAACGAGGCAGACAAAGAGAAACTTCAGCAAGAGAAACCGGCACCCTCTCCAGACCTCATCCTTGTAGCACCTTGAGTTCTTCAAAGCCTTGGGAGATCCATCAATCCACTGCTGTAGCTTGGCTTCCCAAAGGAAAATCTGCTGGATCACCTGGAGCTCCAATCCAGGCTACAAATCCATGTTTTCTAATTGAATGCGTCTTCGTGCAAGCAGAACGTGGAGAGCCAAGATGTGCGGACAGGAGGCTGGAAAAGCCAACGTTCTCGCGCAAAGACAGCGGCGCAAGCTGGGGAAGGAAGGACCCTTCCAGCTCACCTTACCTGTGCTCAGAGCAGCAACCACGCTACTCTTCCTTAGAATAGAGCGCAAATTAGCACAGGCACCAAACGAGGCGCGTGTTAACGTGCAACGGCTGCCAAGGAGAGAGCACCAGATCCTGGCTGCTCTGCCTTCCCCCCTTGGAAGCGGCGAGAATCCTACGAACTCAAGGAGATGCTCCACATCCTTTGCTGGGACTTGGCCAACTGTCTGAACACCGAAACCCTGTTTTTTTTTTTAAGGAATTTTCAACGAATGTAATTGCACACCCAGTCAGTACAGGCAAACTCATACAGCATTTCACAGACTGTGAGATTTCACGTGGCCCTACTAGCCAAGTTGAGCCTTTCTGGCAGCAAAGACGACCAGCAAACGCAGACCTTGCTATGCAAAAACCACCCCTATTTCCAGTAGCTGCCCCAAGCGCCTTCCCAAGGACAGGAACTTTGGAAAATAACATCCCTGGTGGGCAGCAGCAAACGGTAGGCTGCTAAACAGGGCCATTTAGAAGCAATTCTTGGCGTATCCAAAAGTTACAGATTTTAACAACAAACAAGAAGTTACCTGAACGCAAGTTTAAGCATAAAACTGGAGCAAATGGAAACACTCTATTTCCTGTGATTAAACATAATTATAGTTAACGTTTTTGCTGGGCTCTGGAGACGTAAATATATAGGTTAAACATAGTTAAAATTCTACATCCTAGATTCTGCATCCTTAATTGCAGGCATTTTCAACCGAGCGAAATCAGCTTTTACCTGCAGGTTTGGACAATTAATAAAACTGCAGACAACGTCAGCACCTTTAAGCAATAATCACAGCAGAGGGAGAAGATGCTCCTGCCCGGATTCCCGGATCACTCAGCCTCGTGTCCCAAGCACAGCTGGGCAAGCCCAGGCCCCTCGCTGCTGGGGCCATCGGAGCTGTCCCCACGGTGGTTAATGGGATTTCATGGGACACGGACCCAAACGGGCGCGGGGAGAGCGCGGCGGCAGGGCCGGCGCGGCTGACCCGTAATGGCTGCATTGACATTACCTTCCCCGAACGAGGCCAACCTAAACACACGCAGCTGCCTGGGATTTAGCAGGAGATTTACAGTTTGCACTGGCCACTCAGGCTGCTGGAAGACCAATAAATCATAAAAGCCACACGCAGACCCTGGCTCCTGCAAACGCATCCCAATTTCAGCCCCGTTTCTCGCCACAAGTGGAGCCCAGGGCACAAAAAGCCCCCAGGAAAACCCAGCCCCGGGGCCTCCAAGCGCAGCCTGCCGCCCTATTCCTCTTTCCCTTCATTCGAGGCCACCCTTATTAACACCCAAACATGTGACCGGCCACATGACAAGCTAAAAATTTTTTTAAAAATCACTTGGCATCTCTACCTTCTGGTCCAAAATGGTCCAACACACATGTACGGGGAGGGCACAGCTCCGTGCCCAGACACAGGAGCCTTTCCCGGGAAGCGGCCGCTGGAAGCGGGAGGCTGCAGGCGGCCCCGCTCACGATGCCGCCGTGCGACGGGGGGCACGGCACCCGCCTGCCCCTAATCCCGGAGGCTCTCGGCCCCGCGGGCCCCGCTCCTCGTTAACCGCTTCGGTGTCTTCTGCTCTTTCCAAAATAGCACCTGCTATAACGGGTGGTGCCGAGGGGCCAGCTGGCACGGGCAGCGAGCGCAGGGGGGACAGGGCGCCACGGGACGCCGGGGACACCGGAATTAGGGCAGGGCGGCTCTTCCCACCCCTGCCCCTCCTTTTTTCTTATTTTTTCTTTTCTTTCTTTTTATTTTTTTTATTTTTTTTTTTTTTTGAGGTGGGGGAGGATAAAGGCTCCCCCAGGGCAGGGTGTCCCCCTGGCAGGACGCTGCCCCAGGATGGAGATTCCCCCCTCAAAACCAGGCAGGGAAGCTGGGGGTCCCTTCCTGTAGACCGTTCCCGGGGTCCCCTCCCGAGGGCCCCTTTCCCATCACAGCATCCCCCTGCACAGCCCACGGGGGGGCTGGGGGCGGGAGGGAGGGGGTGTCCCTCCCTGTCCCCACATGTGGCAGGTCCCCCCTGCATCACCTTGCAGGGACCAGCACCCCCAGCCCCACACTGGGGGTGCAGGTGGGTGCTCCCCGCTCCTGCACAGCCCCCTCCCCAGGGTGTCCCCCCCAAGCAGCCCCCAACATCATCCCCCCTTGTACAGATTCGCACCCTCCAGGGTCCCCCCAGAGCAGGGGACCCCTCACACACACCAGCAGCCCCCGACCACGCAACTCCCCAGCTCCCCCAAACCAGACCCAGCAGCCCCCCCAAAACAAACGCCCCCCCAGGCTCCCCTGGCCAAGGGGGGACACAGACACACCAGGTCACCCCTCCACCAGTGCAG